CCCCTCACTGTCACCTTCCTGTCATTCACCCATCTTTCTCCTGCCACACAGACTGCCATGTGGTTGCCACAATACAAAACTCCAGCACACTAACTTTATGGTTCCTGCCCCTGTGCCTTTGACTATGCTGTTTTCCTCCACCGGATGTTCTTCTTCCCCACATCTGCCAGTAAACCCTTGTCACCTACTGGGTCCTAGCTCAAGCCTTTCCTGATCCCACAAACACAGTTACTCYACTCCCTGACCGTGTGGGCACTGTTCATAGCCCTTACCATCTTAGTTATTTCTCTATGTCTGATACCCTCACTAGCCTGGGTGTTATCTGTGTATCTTGCATGGTCAGTCCAGTGAAGTAATTACTAAAAGACAGAGTAATATAACTTTTTCAACTTCTGTCCTGATGGTTAATTATAACAAGAGGAAAGAAGATTAGATGTCAGGAAGAACTGGTAGAAAAAGAGGAACACGGCAAGGCAAATGCACACTAGTCATCTGTCCCCCTTCCTGTCCCCCCACCCTGGAAAGTTCCCCAGGAGCACAGTCATCAACCTACAGAATGTTAACTCCAAGAGGGCTTTCAAGATTTTGTCACCCAATCAAATATCAGAGAAGKTAATTGCTTTTCTCAAGATCATATTGCTGGGAGCTTTGAAGTTTAGGTAGAYGGCTATCTCCTCTCTTGCCCTTCTTCCTCTCCTGCCCAACCTAACTCCCTAGARGTCCCTGATGCTTTAACAAGATCAAGGGAACTACTGGGCCTCACTGGAAACTATTAAAGCACCTGCTGGGACCCTGGCAGGAGTTGCCATAGTCCTACAGATTGGAGGAGGGTATCCAATGGCCCCCATTTTACAGTTTGGCAAACCAAGACTGCTAGCTAATGGCAGAGGCAGGATTTGAAACTAAGTATGGTGTTCTTCCTGTTGAGGAATCTGTGAAAAGCCAGGAACCCCACATGTGCAGAGTCACTACAGTAATCATGACTATGGACCTCCTAATGCCTGGGGAATCCCCTCACTCCCACTAGTTCCTCTTTAGATCAGCCTGTATCTACCATGAACTGGGGGGGTTTAACTTAGGAAAAAACCTCTACGTCACCCATGCAAGCAGACCAGGCCTACTAGATGGACTGGACCGTCACCAGTCATAACCTTTAAGGGGAAATCACCTTTCCCTGGGCCCCGCACTTGACAGTCAAGGTGGCCATGTCATCACTGATTGGTACTAATAGCCTCAGATGGGGAAACTGAGGGTCCTTGATAAGGCATTAGGGTAGGTCATAATCAGTAAGTGACAGGGCTAGGACTGGAACCTAGGTCTGTYTGATAATAGAGCGACCTTCCCGGCTAGCGGTTCCTCCAGGTCACGCCAGGCGTTCCAACCACCCAACCACCTGAAGCCTCTCAATGGCTGGATTACCTCGGGAAAGGAACTTAACCTCTCCCAACGCCCCCAAGGTCAGAAGCTTCACTTTGAGGGCAGAAAACGACGTGCAAAGGAAACGCAAACCCGCGGGCGCCGGCGCAGTCTCTTCTTCGAGCCTGGGGCTGTCTAATGGCCCAGAGGAGAGGTCGCACCCCCGGCCCCCGGGACCGGCGAAACCAAACGCCAGGCTGGCTAGAAGAAGCGAAACCGCAACACACTCGGGCCTTCCCCGCTCGGTTCCGGGAACCAGCGAGCCAGACTTCGCGGAAACGCGACCAGCAGCAGGCGCCTCCGCCCCAGGACCGCCCCGACCTCAGCCTGCAGCCCCGGCAGGGAGGTGCGGGGGCCGGCGCGGTCGGGCCCGAGCAGCAGCGCGACGCGCGCTTCCGCCCCGCTCGGCTCCGGCGGCGGCCGCGGCGGCCCCACAATCCCCTTCTGGCTCCGGGGACGGGCGGGGCGGGGCGGGGCGGGCCGAGCGGGCGGAAATAATTTTCTGTTTGGTCGTCTCTGCCCCAGTCCCTTTGCCGCGGGACGCGCGGGGCGGGAAGCGGGAACGCGAACGCGCTGCTCTGGCCAGYTTAGCTCCGCGGGGCGGGGCGGAGATCTTCAGGAACTGAGCACCTACTGTGTGTCCTAGCGCTTTGAGAGGATTTTCGTTCAGTTTTCCCTACAGCCCTTGCCAGAGGTTATCAATACTCCACTTTCAGAGAGACAGGCTGAGACTAGGAGAGATGAAGTCACTCGCCGAAAACCGCACAGCCAGGATCTGCGTGACACCTCAAATCGTGATCGCTCACACCCCAAATAGCACAGTGAACTAGAAACCACTTTTCCTAGTCTTGCTCTTGCCCCATATTCGTGAGTCGGCGCATAGTGGGTACTCAGGAAAATAAATGTTGGCAACTGAAGAATGAGCTTGACAGCTCAGCCTCGAGTACCTGCGGCGAATGTAGCCCGCCGGGGGGGGGGGGGGGGGGGGCGCCGGCCTACCCCCGACCTCGGAGGGAAACCGTGGTGGATGCGCACATAGAGGAGAATTGGGCACCCCTCCCCCGAGCTCTGCACAGGCACAATACGTGGTGCTGGAGCCCCAGCCCTGGCCGAGGACAGAGTGGGTTCGAATCCTGGCTGCTCGGCTGCTTTCAGGCTGTGTGTTGTTGAGCAAGTCATTTTAAAACGTGGAGACCTTAGTTGCTCCGTCCATAAAGTGGAGCCATTAAAGCCCATCCTAAAGGATTAAACGAAACAATATTCCTAAAACACTAAACGTGTTAAGTGTCGTCAGCCGTCCATCCCACAAGCTGCAGGGGCACACCGGGCACCGAGCTGATCCAGGACAAAAAGGCCTCCCCGGCCCCTGTCCCCAGGTCGCCCATCCCTGGGCGCAGGGACCAATGAGTCTTCAAATGACTCCAGTTTGGCAAAACCCGAATGTGACTACCATGGCAGTGGTGAATCCCGAAAGCAAATTATTCAAATATTCTGAAACTGGCGCACGGTTAACACTGGCATTTTCGCGTTTTTCTTGCAATTTTATTCTTGCTAGTAAAGATAATTCGTTAGAAACTCCTAAATAAGGTTTCTCCTCTGCGTCTTGTTTGACTTTTCGTATGAGCGAAGTTCACAAAACTGACCAAGAAACTGGAGTGCAAACATCCTGGCTGGGATCCCGGCCCCTCGGACAGGCGTTGGATAATACCCTGGCTCTCGGTTCCTTCCCTCAGGCACCGAAGCCGCCGAAAAGATAGACGGCTCTTCGTCCCGGCAGCCCTCCGGGATTCCCCTTGTCCACGCTGGAGCGAGCAGGGGTTGGGGGCTGCAGCCTGGAACTCAGCTTCCCGGATCTCCCCAAACTCCCGCCTGGCCAGGATTAAGGGAGTAAATCCCTGACGCCACCGACCAGGTCAAGGACAAGTTCTCCCCCGGCAAGCCCTCCCCTCCTGGGCGGGGATTCGCTCCCCCCTTGGCCCGGATGAAAGGTACTAAAGAGATGCGGAGGGGGGAGCGGCGGCCCCGGCCCCTTGATGTTCCGGTTGAACAGGTGCTGGTGAAAAGGAGGCGGACCCGGCGGAAGAGTCTGCCAGGGGGGCAGTGCGCTGAAGGGGGGCGGCCTACTCCATCCCCAATCCCCTGGCCGGCCTTCCCCTCTTCCCTCTCTCGACCCCTCCCCCTCAGGAAGCATTCCCGGCCGCGAAGTCTTTGAAGTGTCGCTGAAGCCCCCAGGGCTGCCTCCTCCCCTCCACCACCCCACCTCCCGCTGTGGGGGTGGGTGACCTTTAGTCCCCACGGGCGCCGACCCCCCTTTAGGAAATGTGTGGAAGTCAGATCTCGTCCCCTTTCCCCACACTAGTCTTGGGGAAGAAATCTTCGGGCTAATGTCCCCTCACTTCTGACCCGAGACCCAGTGTTGGGGACTTGAGCCCTTTGGAGGGAGCTGTGTGCGTGCCATTGTGTTGGTGTGCGTGCTTAGCGGTCAAGGGTAACTTGTTCGTGACCACCTCCGTGGTTGCGGTCTCTAGCGTGCGTGGATCTCTCCGGCGCGCCAGAGGAACTGGAGCTGGGCTTGGGTCTCCAGGAGGGTCAGGTGGTGTGCCTGGATGAAGTTGCGCGTGCCTCTGTGCGCCTTGGAGGTCTGGGTCCCAGTGTGTGCGCGCGTGTGTCCGTGACAACGAAAAGCTCCTCGAGGGCAGGGATATCTATTTTGTTCGCTACTCTCCTGGCGTCTGGCACATACTAAGCGTTCAATAAATATTTGTTTAATGAATAAGTGTCTGCACGTGAAAGAATGTCTACCCTCCAGAGTGGCCTCGGAGGAAAGGGCCCGTGCGCTACCGTCCAAAGAGACCCCCAAACACTTAGAAGCGAGCAGCCCGCGTCGCTCCAATTCCTTTCCGCGTCCCTGGTCTTCACCTCCAAATTTCCCTGAGGTTGAAGAAGTGACGCAGAGACTGAGACCCGGGCGTAGCGGGTTGGGAATCGGACACCCCCGCACGAGATGGGAGGCAGGCAGAGGGAGGGCTCCGGAGCGACAACCGAGAGCCAAAAAACGAAAAAGAAAGAAGGAAAAGAAGCGCGGAGCGAAGGAGCGAAAAGCTCCCTACCAAGCCAGGCTTTGTTCCCTGAACCTAAGACTTTACCCGGCGGCGGGCGGCGGGCGGGCCGGGAGCGAGCGAGCAAGTGAGCGGAGGCGCGCGGCCATGGCTGCCGCGGCGGGGCAGGGGGGCCGGGGGGGCGGCGCGTGAGCGGGCGGCGCGGGGCGGGCGGGCACCCGCGATGTGCCACTCGGCGCCTCCCCCGCCGGGCCCTGGCTGCGCGGCGGCCGGGCAGCCGTGGTAGCCGGGCGAGCGGCGCGGAGGGGGCGAGCCCGGCGCGCGAGTCTCATTGTTGGGGGGGGGCCGTCGGGGCATGAGGGCGAGAGCACGGCGGGGGGGGCGGCCAGACAGAGCGAGCGAGGAGGAGGAGGAGGACGCCGAGGAGGAGGAAGGAGGAGGCAAAGAAAAGAAGCGGCGGCGGCGGAGGAGGGGGCGAGGAGGCGCGCGGCCCCCCGCTCCCTCCCTCCCCCCCTGACCCCCGACCCCCGCCGGCCGGCCCCCCGCCCCAGCCCCGGAGGGAGCTCATGGGAGTATGAAGGAGATGGTAGGAGGCTGCTGCGTATGTTCGGACGAGAGGGGCTGGGCCGAGAACCCGCTGGTCTACTGCGATGGGCACGCGTGCAGCGTGGCCGTCCACCAAGGTACGGGGGTAGCCCGCGGGGGGGCGGCGGGACCCCGGGGGCGGCGCGCTCAGGGCGCCCCCGGCCGCGCCCTCCGGAGCCCTCCCGGGGCTTGCGCGCCCCTCCCCCACCCCACCTGAAGGGAAGGGAGGCGTGGGGACTCCCCCCCGCCCGGTCCTCCAGGACCGGGTCAGGCATTGTTTTCTTGCCTATTGTTCCAGTCCCGCGCCCCCCACCCCAAGTTGAGGGAGTTTGGGGAGAGTCCAGGGAGCGACGAGTGAACTCCCTGCGCCCCGCGCCGCCCTTGTCGGGGCTGCCGGGGGAATGTTTACCTGCGAGGTGTCCCCTCCCGCCCTGTTATTTTGGTCCGGGGCTCGGAGAGGAAGAGGTCAAGGGGGGGTCATCCCCCCTCGCTTCCGGATACTGGGAGGAGCGGAATTGGGAAGGGACGAGAAGGGTCCCAGGGGAGAAGGGACTCCTAAAATCCTCCGGGGAAGAGCTGAAGATTGGAGAGCGGTTGTGCAGGGGGCCGGAATGGAGAAGGGAGGTTTGGAGTTTCCCCCAGCAGCACATGGTTCGGAGTTAACTCCTTGAGGAATCTTGCCGAGGGCGCAGGCTGGCATCTCCCGCCTGTCTGGCACAGCCAGCTGGGCCCCCACTTCCTGGGACAACCCTTAGTACTGTGGCTGCCGGCAGTTCCCGCCACTCTCTTCTTTACCTGCACTGCACCTGCCCTTAGCCTTGACTTTTGACCTGTACCTGTGATAGTTAGAAGCTGAAGATGAGGTTCCTGGACCCCCAACTTCCCTGCTTGGTCCCTTACTGGCCCTTTAAGAAGTCCCCCCCCCATAACAACAAAACGTGTTTGACTATCGCGACTGTCGTTTCTCGTTACTGATGCCAGGGGACTAGTCTGGGACTGGAGCTGGGAAATGAGTCCAGAAAGGGCGTGGGGTGGGGAGGATCTTTCAGAAGTTTAAGGTCAAGGACTCAAGACTTCCCGCCCCTGTTTGTAGTGCTTGGTTGTGTGATCAAAGGCTGGCCTGGTGCGGTTGGGCATTCCTTGTGGCTCTGCTGTTTAGAGAGTGACCCCCAGACAGGGGGAGCAGCCCCCCCTGCTGGAACTAGCTCTGGTTCTTCAGAGTCACACTCCCTTCCCCCTGTTACTCTGGGGGAAAGCCGCTGGCTGACAGCTTTCCTCAATGACTCCTCCCCCACCTCTAGCTTGCTATGGCATCGTCCAGGTGCCAACTGGACCCTGGTTCTGCCGAAAATGTGAATCTCAGGAGCGAGCAGCCAGGGTGGTGAGTTCCAGCCTCCTCCTCCTGGCTCCCCTCCCCCTTTGCACACACCTGAGCATCTCCTCTGGTTGAGTTTAGGGACTCTGAGGCTGAGGCTAGGGTGGGACTTAGTTCTGTCATGCAGGACTTCCTGTTTCCTGCATACCTATCACCAACCCCATCTCTCCCTCAGCTCATCCCTCACTGTGCCCCACCTCAAGCATGGAGACTTTGTYTGTTTGAACTTTTTATTATGAAAAGTTTCCAAGGCTACAAAAGTTGGGAGAATTCAATAATAGACCCCAGGTCCCCATCATCACTCAGTCTTCAACAATTATCAGCTAGTGGCCAAACTTCTTTCCTCTACACCACCCCACAGTGGATCTTATCATTTCATCTTGGGGTCCTTTGAATGTGTTCAGGGAGGGCCTGGCTCAGCAGATCCCCCAACTCCCTGTGCCCCTTGCCTTGGCAGAGGTGTGAGCTGTGCCCACACAAAGACGGGGCATTGAAGAGGACTGACAATGGAGGTGAGGGGGGGCCCYGAACCCCTGAGGTCAGCAAGTCCCCCAGAACAGGTCTGGGAAGGCAAGAGTGGATGGGGTGGAGGCTGGGTTTCCTTTCCCTGGCTGGCACTGGAATCAGATGGGAAGGCTGTGAAAAAGGGGACAGTCTGCAGCCTGGGGATGGGAGGGATGGGGTGTTAGGCTCACCATCCCCCTGAGGCTGGCCCCTACACTCTCCCAGGCTGGGCCCACGTGGTATGTGCCCTCTACATCCCCGAGGTGCAGTTTGCCAATGTGCTCACCATGGAGCCCATCGTGCTGCAGTATGTGCCTCATGATCGCTTCAATAAGGTCAGCAGTCCTACTGTGCCCCATACTGTCCCTTCCCTGGCCACCCATACTTCTGTCCCTACAATGCTTTCTTATTCTGGTGTAGCTTGATTCTGTCCAATGAACACTTTCAGGGAACTTGAAGGTGGGTAGGTACCTACCACTGTTAGACACACACTCATGCTCTGGAACTCAGTGAAGTAGCACTGTCAGAGGGGAGTTTTTAGCTAGTAGTTCATTCATTCATTACTGGGACACATTTTATTGACTGCCTACTATGTGATAGACCTGATCTAAGGTACTGGGCATACAGTATTCTGTGTTGATCAAGACAGATGTGCTGTCTGCCAATGGAGTTCATGCTCTTGTGTGGGAAGACTGTAGAAATCAATAAACAGGCAAATAAAGTAAATGTAATTTGTGATAAGTGCTRTGAAGAAAATAAAAAAGGAATTTAAATAAAGAGTACCTAGTGAGGTGCTTACTTTAGATAATGTGGTCAATGAAGAAGACATTTAGGTGGAAACCAAAGCATGAGACAGTCAGCTTTGAGAATGTTGGGGTCTTAGGTTCCATACAGATTGCATATGCAGAGGCTCAGAGGTGGGAATAGGCTCACCAGGGAGCAAGATAGATAGTCAGCAGCCTTTCACAGCTCACCAAGGACAGGCCTTTTCAATATGACCACTAGCTACATGTGGCTTTGCAAAATTGAAATTATATCGGATTTAGGATTCAAGTCTTCAGTCACACTAGCCATACTTTTAGTATTCCATGTGACTGCAGGCTACTCTCTTGGACAGTCTAGATTATAGAAGATYTGCATCACTGCAGGAAGATGTTAGCATTAATATGGGATGGTGAGGAGAGGATGGAATTAAAGGGAGGCCAAAGGATCCCTCAGCTTGCAGGACAGGGGCTCTGTGGAAGACAGGACGAGTGTGCTGTGTCCTACAGACGTGTTACATCTGCGAGGAGCAGGGCCGGGAGAGCAAGGCAGCCTCAGGAGCCTGTATGACCTGTAATCGTCATGGATGTCGACAAGCTTTCCATGTCACCTGGTAAGATCCCTGTTCCCAACCCCTTCTCTGAGGTTTACATGGGTGGCTGCCGAGTGGGCTCATCCTAGCTTCTGTTTCTTGGGTGATGGTGGCAGTGGCTTCCTCGGATAGTCTTGGCTTCACTTAAGTAGGGGTCTAGGAAGGGAAGAGGAGGTGGCTGCTCTGGTCTGTGGCCACTCCCTTCTCACCTGACCTCCCTCGGTTAGTGCCCAAATGGCAGGCCTGCTGTGTGAGGAAGAAGTGCTGGAGGTCGACAATGTCAAATACTGTGGCTACTGCAAATATCACTTCAGCAAGATGGTGAGTCCCATCTGGTCTGCCAGCACACGAGTTGGTCTGTCAGTGGAGGTTTAGAGGGTGTGGGCTCTGGGCCAGGCCCCTGCCTGGTGCTGGGAGGTAGAAAGAACCCAGTCTCTGCCTTTGAGGAGCTCCTCTTTTGATTGGGGAATAATTTACAGTTGAAGGGGTATGAACCAGAGCTGAACCAAGTAGTCCATCCTAGAAGACAGAGCTCAAACCTTGCCTATCCGCCTGGGTGGCTTCAAAGACAAGGGAGCCTTTAAGCTGAGTGGAGCTAGAAATAAAAATAAGAGCCACCAATTGTGTGGGAGTGAATATCTACTGTGCCTGAGCCTCTGTACCAAGTTCTCCACATGGGATATTTTTTGTGGTCCTCCCAACATCTCTAAGTACTAGGCATGCTGTATTGTCTCTATTTCACAGATGCATAAACCAAGCCTCCCCAAAGTCATGTAACTTACCTCATAGCTGGTGGATAGATTTCAGAACAGGTAGTCTGATCTAAAAGCTCCTCGAGAACCTGTCAAACAAACACAGGAAGAAATGAGGCCCAGGCAGAGGGCCTGGTGTGGACAGAGGTCTGAGATGAGACAGAGCATGCATGAGCAGCAGAACAGAGTGCTGGATGGGACCAGAGCAGGAGATGAGAGCTGAGTCTGCTTCTGCCCAGGCTGGAAGGGTACTATTGCATGTCTGTGGAGAGATTTGCATGTTCCAGAAGCTGTGAGGTGTCTGCAGAGCCAGGCTGCTGCTTGGGCCACTCCTCCCCCCAGGCCACAGGCTTGGAAAGCTTGTAAGTGGAGAGTAACATGATCAGATTTGTTTTTTAGGAAGATTACCCTGGCAGCTACCATGAAGCTGGATTGGAAGGGCCAAAGCTGGAGGCAGGGAGACAGCTGCGAGGAGGGGGGATGGAGGGATGAACCTGGAAGCTAGAGCCATTCTAGGTAGACTCCCCTAAATGTGGGGGTGGCTGAGAAGCAGGAAGTAAGGTTGAAACAGGATCCAGGCTCTAGACATTCAGTAGCTAGAGGMACCTGGGGGTACCTTGAAGATGGGATTCATCTGGCCTTTGTAGGGTGAGTGTGTGTCCTGGTTTGCTCCAGCCAGTTTTGGTTTATGCCTGTGTTCTAGTATAATGATTAATAGCTACCCTTGTTCATTTCTAGAAATGTCCTTATTTGGGACATAAATTATATGGTCACCTTGTTTTCAGAGTTTAATGATGACGTAGGACAAGGTAGGTTGGTTTGGTTTGCAGAGGTGTTAAGTGGAGACATTCAGGTTTGCTGGCTGTCAGACCCCCAGCAAGATAGTAGAGACAGCCTGGGTTTATAAGGCTGGGGCTAGAATTTCCAAGTTATCCATGGGAAGAGTAGACCAAGGTGTGAAGGGAGCCACAGGGGAGGGTACAGAGTTTGGCAGGATAGGATCCATGCCTAGTGCTGGGGAGCATCGAGCAGGACTGGTGAGGCCTGAAGTTAGCCCTAGGATTTGGCCATTGGGAGGTAATTCGTGACTTTAGAGGGAGCAGCTGCAAGCCTGGGACCAGGCAAATGAGAGTGCATTAGTAGGGAAGGGAGTGAAAGGCACTCCTGGCTGTAAGGAGAGGCAACATGAATGTTGTTTGGGTTTTGTTATTTTGGGGGAATGCATACCTGGGATTGAACTCAGGGACACTCAACCACTGAGCCACATCCCCAGCCCTATTTTGTATTTTATTTAGAGACAGGGTCTCATTGAGTTGCTTAATGCCTTGCCTTTACTGAGACTGGCTTTGAACTCATGATCCTCCTGYGCCACCACTCCAGCTAGTTTGGGTTTTGCTGTTGATATTTTAAAGATTAAAGCAGCATATCCCTTGCACAGGAGCAAACCCTGTGTTTGGTGGAGGGGAAGGGCTAGGAGCAAGGGAGGAGAGGCGATGGCTGGAATGAAGTACGAGAAGGGGAGGATGGGATGTGGAGTGCAGGGGAGCAGAGGTTTCCCACAAGGGTCCCTGCACAGCTTCTACTGGGGGGGGGGGATAGAAGTGGCCTGGGGCTCAGTTTGTCCAAGACAGGATGAGAGGGTGCCAGGAAGGAGCTGGGTAGAAAGCATGAGGTCCTATGTTCTGGGCCCCAGGCCACCTCCACCAGGCCCAGCCAGGGAATCCCTGCCTTTTTGGAATCTCAATTGTTGAATCTATATGTTGGATGAGCCAGCCGGGAAAGTTCTAGGATTTCTAGACTGAACAGAGCAGCACGGAGGACACCAGGTCCTCTTATTGATGACAGAGCAGATGGGACTGGCCCTGGATCATGTGACCTCCAAGAACCTTTTCCTAAGCTAGTAAAAGGAGAGTTTGACAGTTATTCTCAATTTTCTCCCCCAGAAGACATCCAGGCACATCAGTGGTGGAGGAGGAGGAGCAGGAGCAGGAACAGGAGCAGGAGCAGGAGGAGGAGGAGGAGGAGGAGCAGGAGGAGGAGGAGGAGGAGGAGGTGGCAGCGGTGGTGGTGGCAGTGGAGGTGGCACAGGGGGAGGCAGCAGTGGCTTCATCTCTGGCAGGAGAAGCCGGTCAGCCTCACCATCCACCCAGCAGGAGAAGCACCCTGCTCACCACGAGAGGGGCCAGAAGAAGGTGAAGTCTTCCCCTCCACTGTTTCACCACACACATTCACAAACACATGCCTCTTTCCAGAAGCTACCACAGGTGTCCCCAGTTCTTGGATCCTGCTCCCTTCCTTCCTCTGAGGCCACTGAGGGGGCTGAGGAAGTAAAACGTGAGGGCCAGAGAGACCGAGATGGGACCTGGCTTCCTTGTGCTTTTTGTGTTTGTATGATTCTTCCTTGTCCTTCCCATGAYATGACTGTGACCCCAAAGCCCCAGGCATGTGGCCCTGCACATTTGCACATTTCCACAGTCTAGCCATGTGCTAGCCCAGTTAGTAAGTACCCATGCCATATATTACAGAGCACCCGTCCCTCTGCACAGCTCTGTGTCCCTGGTAGACACCCTTGCATGAGCATGCTTTTATATGTACATGGTGCTCTGTGTCACTGGCGTGATAATGGGACAAGCTATTTTTAGCAGGCAGGGAGCTTGAGGGGGAGGGGCTCCAAGCACTTAGAGGACCTTGCTCAAGTCACTCTTGCACATCCAGAATGCCCTATTCCTCCAAAGGGGGAGTTGACTCCCAATAAGTCCCATCCTTGAGAGGAGATCTGTTCCCCACATACACAAGTCATGTTTATCCTCCCCCAGGTGATTCCCCAGCATCAATATCTGGTTACTTTTCCCTCCCCAGAGTCGAAAGGACAAAGAACGCCTTAAACAGAAGCACAAGAAGCGGCCTGAGTCCCCTCCCAGCATCCTTGCCCCGCCTGTGGTCCCCACTGCTGACAAGGTACTGCTGCCCACATTCAGCAGGGATGGCGTGCTGCTCTTGGATGGCAGTGAGTGGGAGGGCAAGTGTGAGGACTCAGGGTGAGCCAGGGACCTGCCTGGGTACCTTCTCCTAATTTCTGGTTAACATCATTCCCCTCCCTAAAATCCCATCCCTCCACTCCCACTTCTAGACTAGAAGGGACCTGAACTCCTGCTCCCCAAGTACTGACCAACCATGAGGGTGAGGTTGGATTCCTGTCTGCTTCAGTCCAGAAAGAGGGCCTCAGCACTGGGCTCTTATATACAGAGAATCAGGGTACAACACTCAGGTCCATTCTACAAATTCTGGGACCCACCCCTCCAGGGATAGGCAGAGGGCCCCTCTACCATTGGAARGGCAGGGATGGCATTGAAGCAAAACCTTTTGCTTCACCCAGATCCCACTCCATGCAGGTTAGAAGGGCTGAAAGCACCGACTGTGGRGACAAGGAGGGCAGGCCCCAGGAGAGCACCCTGAGATCCTCATTCATCCCACCCTTCCCAGCAGGGGTGTGGTATTCAGGCCTGTCTCCAGAAATGGACAACATCTGGATAAGCAACAGGCAGATCCTACTCTAAGCCAGGGAGTTGCTAATCCAAGCCAGAACAGCCCTCCTGGCTCTCCCTCCAACCTGCCCTTCCCAGGAAAAGAGAACCCTGGGGGTCTGGAGAAACTGCTTCCTCCTGTCCCATTATTGCCAGTCATCTCCACCCTACCTCAGATGGTTGGCAGAGCTCTGGGCATCTTAGCAGGAGGCTTAGGTATCAGGTTTCCAGGGTGATGTTGCTGTAGTAACTGCCCCAGTAACCCTCTCCCCTCCTGCTTCCCAGTGCTCACCTGGAAAAGTTTGTCATTCATACCCTCTGACCTTTCCAGGGGCCCGCAGGCAGGTGGAAAGATCTGGGGAGTTCCTCCAGTAACTGGGTGTCCCTTGGACATGCCAGAGATTTTTGCCCATCCCCCTCTACCCTCCCCAACATTTCATTTCCCCTTCCCCCCAGCCCCTCTCTTCCCTTACTCTCAGAACCACATCTGGCTCCCTTCAGAACTCCAGCTGCTGAAAAGAACAAAGAAGACAGAGACCAGGGCTCCACCCAGGGAGGGGCAGTGCAGGGCGGCTCTCATTTTCCCATCAATTCTCCCTCTAACATTTGTTCATTTAGCACTGTTTACTAAGTGTACCTGGTCTCTGTCTGGGAGGAAAAGTGCCTTCCCCAGCAATAATACAGAACATGAACTCAGACATGCCAGGTACTCTTCTAGAACTGGGAGATGGAAGGGATACATGGAAGTGCTTCATTTAATTTAATCCTCAAATAGTCCAAAGATGTAGGTAACTTGCCTAAAAACACACAGTGAGTAAGTGTCAGAGTCAGGTTTTGAACCCAGGAAGTCTGGTGTGGAGGCCCATGCTCTTACCCACCACATAGCACTGTCTGTGCTGGATATTAATAGCAGCTGCCAGGGTCATTTATTGACCCCCATCATGTCTCTGGCATGGAGTCCCTCATAACTCTCCAAGTATGCATAATTTACCCTGTGAGGGCACTAGAGCTCAGCGAGGTTGAGAGACCGAATGACATAACGTGGCAGTAAAGGGCAGAGCCTGCCAGGCTCACCCCTCCCCTACTCCGGGGCCCATGCTCCTCCGGTTGCCATCCTGCTGCCCTCTGAGGTTACTGGAGCCTCAGACATTGGATAGCCATCTCAGTGCAAAATGGCAACTGTTGACATGTGAATGTGGGCACACAGTGCCCTGGAAATAAAGGAAGCAGAGTGACTTGTTCCACCTGTGTGTTAGGGAGATTTTATAGAAGTAGGAGCTTCTGAGCTGGAGTTTGAAGGAAGAGCAGTTTCCTGTGAAGAGTGAGGATAGGCTCTCAGGGAGAGGGTTCTGTCTGCAAGCTCAAGTTGTCTTRTAAGAACATGAAATTGTCCAGAGAATGGGGCAAAAACCAGGTGACTGACTTGAGGGGGACAGGGAGGGAATAATAGCAACTGGAGCACCTAAGGCTGGGTCCAGAGAGGTCTAATCTCCTTGACCTCTTCCCTGCCTATGCCACTTCCAAGCCTGGGCAAGTCCTCTCAGGCCCCAAAGTATTTGCATGAGTGAACCTCCAGTTCAGCTGGCCAGTATAACCACAAATCAGTTCTCTCCTTTGCCCAGTCTTCCTGCCTGAAGTGAAGGACAGAAACCTTCTTGAGGTCACAGTGCTCTCCTCTATCTCCTGGGAATTCCACAGCTGCCTCCCCTCTCCCTGGTTCAGGGGTACCTTGAAGTCCTTCCTGAGGTTGACTCTGGGATCTCTCAGATCCTGTCCCTCCTGCCTCACTCCCAAGTCAGGGTGAGCCCAACTGGGCGGCTGGCATTGAGTCTTCCTCTCTCCTCCCCTCCCTCAGGTTTCTTCCTCAGCTTCCTCTTCCCACCATGAGGCCAACACGCAGGAGACCTCCGAGAGCAGCAGGGACTCAAARGGGAAAAAGTCTTCCAGCCATAGTCTGAGTCATAAGGGGAAGAAGCTGAGCAGTGGGAAGGGTGTGAGCAGTTTTACCTCCACCTCCTCTTCCTCCTCCTCCTCTTCCTCCTCTGGGGGGCCCTTCCAGCCTGCAGGTGAGTGTGATGTCCTGGAGCAGGCTAGGAGTGGGGACAGCTTCTTGCCCCACACTTTTCTAGCGAAGGCCTTTGTACTGGTATAGTTTTAGAAACTGGTGGTAGTGGACCCCTACCCAGTGACTCCTCACCCAGCCATCCACCCCTCTCACCTTCCCTATAGAAATGGAGCTCTCCTTCCCTTCCTCAGGGGAAGGCTGCCCTCCAACCCCACAATACTCACTATCCCCCACACTTGTGCTGCAAGGGGCCATTTTTTAAAGCACCAATATTCGTGTTATTTCCTGAAAACTGCGGGTATCCAGTGAGGTCATTGGGGTGGGAGTTCCTCCCCTCCCATTGTGCTGTCAAGGGGAAGGCTGGAGGGTGGGGACGCTCATCTCAGAACACAGAGATGGGCCTAGCTCTGCCAAGTAGCCAGGCTTTCCCCATTCTCCATTTAGAGCTCTCCTCACAGTGTGAGGTGCATGTGGAGGGGGAGGGAGAGGGGAGCTGCAATCCAGCCATAACTCCCTTTCCCTCTGCTCACAGGTTCATCCCTGCAGAGCTCCCCTGACTTCTCCACATTCCCCAAACTGGAGCAGTCAGAGGATGACAAGTACTCCAAACCCACAGCCCCTACCCCGTCAGCCCCTCCCTCACCTTCAGCTCCTGAACCCCCCAAGGCTGACCTCTTTGAGCAGAAAGTGGTCTTCTCTGGCTTTGGGCCCATCATGCGCTTCTCCACCACCACCTCCAGCTCAGGCCGAGCCCGGGCCCCCTCCCCTGGGGACTATAAATCTCCCCACATTTCGGGGTCCGGCACCTCAGCAGGCACCCACAAGCGGATGCCCACATTGAACGCTACCCCTGMACCTGCTGAGGAAACCCCTGAGACAGGCCTGAAGGAGAAGAAGCACAAAGCCAGCAAGAGGAGCCGACACGGGCCAGGCCGTCCCAAGGGCAGCCGGAACAAGGAGGGTGCTGGGGTCCTGGCTACCCCCTCCTTACCTGGTGCCCAGCTGGCTGGCTTTACCGCCACTGCTGCCTCACCCTTCTCCGGAGGCTCCCTGGTCAGCTCTGGCCTGGGGGGTCTGGCCTCCCGCACCTTTGGGCCTTCCGGGAGTTTGCCCAGCCTGAGCCTCGAATCCCCACTGCTGGGGGCAGGTTAGTGTGACCCCTGGCGACAGAGAGTATCTCAGGACTGAGCCAGTCTTGTGAGGGGACAGAGGCATAAAGATGTAATTAGAAGAAATATGATAAAAACTGCTCCAAAGAACAGAGATAAAAGATAGAGATGATAGTCACCTCTAAGACACTCCCCTATACCACTATACCAGTCTTCTCTATGGTTATAGTGGGAGAGATTGGGGTAGATTGCCCCAGTAGGGCTCACATTTTGGGAGGGAATTAGAAGGCTTAGCATTGCCCAGACCTGGGCAGGACAGCCTGGTAAGGTGTCATAGCAAGCACCACACAGGAGGGTTAGACTGGAGTGTGTGGCCAAATCCTGGGAATGTACTGTCTAGAGAGACCTCTTCCAGCCACTTGACTGAAGAGCAATCTGGGGTGGAAGGTAACTGTGGCCTTTCCTTTGTGTCTCTTTAGGCATCTACACCAGTAATAAGGACCCCATCTCCCATGGTGGTGGGATGCTGCGGGCTGTCTGCAGTACACCCCTCTCCTCCAGCTTGCTGGGGCCCCCAGGGACCTCAGCCCTGCCCCGCCTCAGCCGCTCCCCATTCACCAGCACCCTCACCTCCTCCTCTGCTTCCATCTCCACCACTCAGGTGAGGCCTTACTCCTGGCTCCTTCCCTGGGTAGGTTGGGGACAGACTGCCAGGACCCAGCCCTATGTGGGAATTCAAGAAGTTGGGCTTGATTGCCACCAGAACTTCCCCTCTCTCTGATCTTCTTTCCTCCCAGTATGCCTCATCCCCCACCACCCCAGCACACAATTGTGCCCTAGATCCAAAAATAACCACCCTGCTGGATTTTCCCTCCTTCCCTCAGGTGTTTTCTCTGGCTGGCTCTACCTTCAGCCTCCCTTCTGCCCACATCTTTGGAACCTCTATGGGCGCTGTTAACCCCCTTCTCACCCCAGCTGAGAGCAGCCATACAGGTAAATGAGTCTCAAACTGTTCCTTTTTCTTCCCAAAGGCCTGAGGGAATGTGAACCCAAAAAGGATGTGAAGGCTTGCTGGCTGCCCCCTCCCTCTGCCACTGCTCACTCTGCAGAAAACAAAACAAAAAACTTCACACAAACAAACCGAGGGACACTTTTCCAGTGAAGGGGCAAGGCAAGGCAGAATTACCATTCCATCTCACAAAAGAAAAAGGCAGAGAAATGATGCTCAAGGTGGGGAGGATAGGGAATGACAGAGCCAGAGTGCAAAGACAGAGCTCCTGACTCCAAGCTCAGTGCTCTTACACTGAGGCCTTGTTYTTCCCTGCTTCTTAGTGCTGCTTGGGATTGGCGGTTAGGAGGCCCCAAGAGCTGTGCTCCCTGCTCTCCCAGCTTTGAGGAGTTAAGGGGCCCAGTTGCAAGCTCCCAGGGCTCCCTGGAGAGTCAGCCCAGCCCCAGAAAGATGATTGGTGCAGAGACACCACCTGTCAGCCTAGGGGATGGGGCTTATCTCTAGGTGGCCTGTTAAGTTAATCCTTAAAGGGGCCAAAGTTGATACATTTTTTTAGACCCAACAGAGTAGAGTGATTATTATTTCCAAGATCCAAAGCAGGATTCTGTGATGCAACAAAGTTTTGTTTTTTAACTTCAGAGTTCATAGTAAGTCATCCAAGCCAGGCATGGTGGTGGATGCTTGTACTCCCTGCAACTCTATAGACTGAGGCAGAAGGATTACAAGGCCAGCCTAGGCAACTTGGCAGACATCCTGTCTCAAAAAAATAAAAAGGACAGGATGTAACTTAATGGTAGAGCACCTCTGGGTTCAATTCTCAGTACCAAAAAAAAAAAAAAAAAAAAAAAACCCAAGGGCTAGGGATTGTGTTCAGTGATAGAACACTTACCTAATGTGCACATGGCCCTGGGTCTGATGATTCCTGTCATGGAGTGGGGTCTATGTGTTTGGGGATATCATACAAGGCTAATTATAATAATGCCAGCTAAACCACTCCAGCCAAACACTTCTTATTTTTTTCACATTTCTTATTTTAATCCTAATTAACAATCACTTCAAAGAGGTTAGTTTGGAGCCCAAGGCCACCCAAAAAGTAGTGTTGGGTTCAAATTCAACCTAGGTTGCAAATGTCTGTAACTCCAAAGCTCACTGGAAAGAAATTGGGAGGTGGATCTGGAAGTAGGCAGCAGGAGCCCTAGAGAAAGGGGAAGAGAACCTCCTACAAGACAGGGTTTCCAAGCCAGGACTCTCAGCGTCTTAGCAACTTGAACTGCCAGTCTGGGATTGGGGATCCTGGGGAAAGGGGTCTTAAATGACGTTCCAAATCCTGCACCCACTTTCCTGGGCGGGGACCCAGAGGCTGACGGCTCCCCTTCTTCACTGATTCCTCCCCTCCCTTCTCCTTCCAAGAGCCAGACCTGGAGGACTGCAGCTTCCGGTGTCGGGGGACCTCCCCGCAGGAGAGTCTGTCTTCCATGTGAGGGAGGGGGCGGCGGCTTGGGAGGAGGCGGATGGGAGCGGGAAGGAGGGGCGCTGGAGGGAGGGCGGAGGGACTGACAGGGGAGAGGGCGGGAACCGAAGGGCCAAGTGGAAGTCCTGAGGGGGGAGGGGGAGCTTGAAGTAAGGGCACGAGGTAAGCCTGAACCCAGTTTCTCTTACGACCCCAGGTCCCCCATCAGCAGCCTCCCTGCACTCTTCGATCAAACAGCGTCCGCACCTTGCGGGGGCGTCCAGCTAGACCCTGCAGCCCCRGGAACGACTAATATGGAGCAGCTGCTGGAGAAGCAGGGCGACGGGGAGGCCGGCGTCAACAGTGAGGAGGGGCGGCGCGGGGCTGAGAGACCTGCCCGAGGGCTCCCGCCTCACCTTTCTCTCCGAGGGCCCCAACTTCTTTAGGGTTCCACCTCTAGGCCCCGCCCCRCCTTGACTTACGGCCAACCCCAGGCCTCACCTGTAACCCTGGTCAGTCCCGGCCCCGCCTCCTTTGCGTGCGGCCTTTGACCCTCGCGGCCTCTTGGCCGAGACCTTCCCAAACTCCAACTTCCTCTAGCTCCTCGTCCTGTCTTGTGGGTATCAGGTCCCGCCCTGGCGCTCACAGCTCTGGTCCCCAGTCTCTCCTCCGAGCTCACCTGTGTTGCTCGCTAGGCTGGCGCAGCCTCCTGGAGGTCTCCGGCCCCGCCCCAGCCCCGCCCCAGGCTCCGCCTCGCCCCCGCCCACCCAGCGCCCGGCCTCAGGCTCCCTCGCCCTCTCCGCAGTCGTGGAGATGCTGAAGGCGCTGCACGCGCTGCAGAAGGAAAACCAGCGGCTGCAGGAGCAGATCCTGAGCCTGACGGCCAAGAAGGAGCGGCTGCAGATTCTCAACGTGCAGCTCTCTGTGCCCTTCCCCGCCCTGCCTGCAGCCTTGCCTGCCGCCAACGGCCCTGTCCCTGGACCCTATGGCCTGCCTCCCCAAGGTAAGGGCGTCCAGCCCAACCCGGGAATGGAGGTCCTTGCCTGGTGGTTCCAAGTGGGGCGACCCCACTTCAGTCCCTGACTGCCCTTCCTCCTTCAGCTGGCAGCAGCGACTCCTTGAGCACCAGCAAGAGCCCTCCAGGGAAGAACAGTCTTGGCTTGGACAACTCCCTGTCCACATCCTCCGAGGTGGGTACCATGAGGAGGGGTCAGGGAGGAGTGGGGCTGGTGGAGATTCAATGTCCACCCGGTCACATCTCTACCCTGCCGCTATTGGAGGCTGGGGAGTGAAGTGATTTGCTGAGCAGTTAATCGATTGGTTCATTCATTCCTTTAACAAGTAATATTTATGAGGCTCCTACTTAGTGCCAGGCACTTGCTTAGCAATCAATGAGCAAAACCTACACAATCATCCTGAAAATAGGACAAATCCAAGAAAACAATAAATAATTACAAACCAGGAGAAGTGCTAAGATGGAAGTAAATTGAGGGCTGTAAGAAAGAATAGGGGAGGGATTCTTGGATATAAAGTGGTTAGGGAAGGCCTTTGAAAAGTGTTTGAAGAGTTTATTATAGTGCCTCACACAAAATAATCCCTACTTAATTGGTGGTGGTTGGAATAGCAGTTGCTATTGTTATATTGTGGTTATTATTGGAATCAACAAACTGGGTTCTTATTCTCTGCCACTTACTGACTGTGTGACTTGGGCAGTTATAATCATAAAAATAACCAACATTAATTGTATACTTGCCCTCTGTCATGCTTTGAAAATTTTAAAGCATTGGTTTATTTAGTCTTCATAATAGTCCTATGGAGTCAGTGCTACTGTTATCTGCTGGTAATAAGTAAGTAAACTAAAGTTGAACCCAAGGCCACCCAAGCCATTGCATTTCAGATATAGATTTGAACTTGAGCCTCTTTGTTCAGCTGTAGCACTCTCCTGCAGAATTACTTAACCTAACAGTCAGTGGCTTCATTCATATAATGGGAATAGCAAGGTAGCAAAGATCAAGCACTAGCCTTTAGATATGGTTCGCTGGAAGGTCACTATCATTACTATTRTTCATTATTCAGCAAGCATGATAAGGGGTGCCAGGCCCCCAGGAAATGGTCAGTAAACATGAATTATGAAGACTGGATTCATAGCTTTCATCCTTGGGCCTTGTATCTTGGGCCAGAGTTCTTGGGGTGAGGTGGGGTGGCTGTACTCTGTGAGAATGCTGGTGGGTGCTGGGCTGGGGGCCAGAAGGTTCATGCTGGCCCTCTGCCCTCTGACCACTGCCTTCCCCCTCCCTCCCCAGGACCCACACTCAGGCTGCCCAAGCCGCAGCAGCTCGTCGCTGTCCTTCCACAGCACGCCCCCACCGCTGCCCCTGCTCCAGCAGAGCCCTGCCACTCTGCCCTTGGCCCTGCCTGGGGCCCCTGCCCCACTCCCGCCACAGCCACAGAATGGGTTGGGCCGGGCATCTGGGGCAGCAGGGCTGGGGGCCATGCCCATGGCTGAAGGACTGTTGGGGGGGCTCGCAGGCAGTGGGGGCCTGCCTCTCAATGGGCTCCTGGGGGGGTTGAATGGGGCTGCTGCTCCCAACCCTACAGGCTTGAGCCAGGCTGGTGGGGCCCCCACGCTGCAGCTGCCAGGTTGTCTCAACAGGTGAGGGAGAGTTCAGCCCTGGGGAAGGGAGTGGGGAGGCTGGCTCTGGGAGGGATTCCCCCATAACACCCAAATCCCCCAAAGGGTATATAGTCTTTGTCATATCTTGGTCTCTAGGGACTCCTTAGACTGTCATCTCTGAGTGCCTCTGGGTGTAAGTGGCCCAGGACCAAGAATCTTTCTCACCCATCAGCCACTCTAGGTCTCCCCTCTGGGGCAGTCCTTCAGTCTTACAGTGTCCCTCTCCCCTCACCCTCTGAACTTAGTTCTCTAAACCTGCACCTCCCTGYCTCTCCTCACCTGGGTCTGAGGGAGTCTGGGAGCTTGTAGGGGTGGGGAGGAATGCTTCCTTGCACCTTCCTCATGGTCCCTGTGTCCCCTGCTTCAGCCTGTCCGAGCAGCAAAGACACCTCCTTCAGCAGCAAGAGCAGCAGCTCCAGCAGCTCCAGCAGCTCCTCGCCTCCCCACAGCTCACCCCGGTAATGTTCCTCCCTTCCCTGGCTCCTCAGCAGCCCCGTGCTTCCCCTTTTCCTAGATCTCAGAGGACCTGGATCAACCCAGGGAGGGCAGCAGTGGGGGGGGGGGGGCTTCAGGCTGAGTGGATATTGAGCCTGTGGGACTGGTGAGGGGCAAGGGGACAAGAGTATTCTCAAGGTCACCAGGGATGCTGCCATGGCCCCAGATCATGTCCCAGTAAAGGRCGGCAGGTTGAGTAATAATAGCATTCTGATCCCAGCCCCAAGGATCTTTAGGGGGAGGGAACTACAGGATCTTAGTGGAAAGGTGACTGAGCAGGGGACACTGTCAGCCAGAGCAGGTTCTTTTGGTTGTATCTCATGTTGGGTTCTGCTAGGTTTGGTTTGGAGGCAGGAGTTTCACTTTTAAAAATGAGGAAGTTGGGCTGGGGGTGTGGCCCAGTGGTAGAGCACATGCTTAGCATCGAGGCCTTGGGCTCCCTCCCAGCATCAAAGTACCTAAATAAATCACAGTAAGAATGCTGGAGTTGAGAAAATGGGAAAAGTAAATATTTTCATATAAAGAAACGTTGGAAAGATAGAGGGAATAGGATAAGATTTTTWAAAATTCTTTAAAGCAACGTTTCTTTTTATTTATTTTACTTGCGTTTTTGGTGTTGTAGATAGACAGCATGCCTTTGTTTTTTTTTTTTTTGTTTGTTTGTTTTTAATGTGGTGTTAAAGATCAAACCCGGTGCCTCATGTGCTAAGCAAACACTCTGCCACTGATCTACAACCCCCTCCCAGAAGCAGCATTTCTTAATGTAAATTTTTATATAATTATTTTAGTTTTGGAACACTAAGAATGCTTTGCCTATTCAAAACAAAAACAATCAATTTTTTAAAACAAAAAAGAGGAGTTGAAAACTGTTGACCTCATTTATTGTTTCTTGCCTTGGGGTGATACCACTCCTGGGAGCATTTGTGGTTGTCATGGTAACTGAGGAACTGATTGAGAGGGCTGGTTCTGCACTTGGTCCACAGTGCCCGGCTTATGGACACTGAGGCTGTGCAACCATTTTCTTATCCAAATGGGAAGAGTTAGGCCCAGAGTAGGAAGTTAGAGACAGAACCTTGACCATCTCCCCTGTCTCCTGCCTCATGGTTCTGGTGATACGGATAGAGCCCAGGACCCAGGCAGGCAGCAAGGAGAGACAGCGGGGAGGGACCTTGGCCATAAGCAGCCTGACCTCCTTGCAGGAGCACCAGACGGTTGTCTACCAGATGATCCAACAGATCCAGCAGAAGCGGGAGCTGCAGAGGCTGCAGATGGCTGGGGGCTCCCAACTTCCCATGGCCAGCCTGTTGGCAGGAAGCTCCACCCCACTGCTGTCAGCGGGCACCCCTGGCCTGCTGCCTGCGGCATCTGCCCCACCTCTGCTGCCCGCTGGAGCCCTTGTGGCCCCCTCACTCAGCAACAACACCAGTCTCATGGCAGCAGCGGCTGCAGCTGCAGCAGTCGCAGCTGCAGGCGGACCTCCAGTCCTCACTGCCCAGACCAACCCCTTCCTCAGCTTGTCGGGGACGGACAACAGTGGCAGTTGCCCCAAAGGAGGGGTGAGTAAGGGGTCCAAACCTTCCTGTCTCCCTTCTGAGGGATGGGCAGAGATGGACCATCAGAATATACATCACCATATGCATCAGCAGGGGAATGTCAGCAACCCCCAGGTTAGACAGGTGCCCTGCTCCAGTTCCAGGGCCTCTGCTCCACATGGGTGCCCTCCTGCAGAGCCAAGAAGGGTCCACTCTGAGCAAGGGCTAATAGTAAAAGGATCAGTTAGAAAGCAGCCTTCCTCTGGAAGACCAATTAGGAAATGCCATTTCCTTTCTGAGTGACCAGTTAGAGGAAGGTGCCCCTCTAGGAGGGCCATTGAAAAAGAGGCTCTTCTCCTTCTGAGGGGACACAACCCGAGCCCAGGAAGCCAGTCTTGCTGGCATATGTGCTCACAACTCCCCCACCCCTGCACCTGCCAGAGCCCAGGCGGGACCCTTCTGACGGCCTCCCTTTCAGCACTTGGGGCAGCTTTCTTGTCCCAGGAAGCTGGTTGTAGGTAGGCTTTAAGGCCAGACAACTCCAAAATCCCCAGCCTCCCTTCCTCTCTTTCCAGACYGCTGACAAAGGAGCCTCAGCCAACCAGGAAAAAGGCTAAATCTACCTGTACCCCTCCTGACCCCTAAATGGAGGGGACAGATCCTGGCTTAAGGGGTCCTATCCTGGAGCAGGCATCTGGGCCCAGACACTGGAAGAACCCCGACCCAGAGCCTGTGCTGAGGCCCAGGGAGTGTTGGGGGCTCCTGGTGCAAGGACTGAGATTGGGAGGGGAGCCCCTTCCATCTGCATCCCCACCCCGTGTCTGCACTGTCTGCTTTGTGAGAAGCCCAGAGGGAGGACAGGCTCTAAGCCTGCCTAGGAGCCCCCACCCTCAGCAAATGTTTTGAGGTCCCCCAGAGAGCAAAGTGGGCCATGACATAAGTGGGGGGTTGGTTGGACCCACCACATAAAACAGATCAGCACTTGAAAGGGGAGCAGTGGAGGGTAGACCTAGGCTTATCCCTGCATGGAAGTCTTCATGGAAGAAGGGCTGGCCCCACTTGACCTGYAGTTTCTTCCCAATCTGGGTAAATGGCAGAAGGGATCCCTTTAACTGTTTCTCACTGTCCCTCTCCCTTACTAAGGGTCACAAGCTGAGCTTGTAAAAGCCCACAGATGTAGGGGGAGTAAGGAAGGGCAAGACAGCATCAAACCCAGGCCAGGCCTCTTGCACCTCTTGTGACCCCACTAGTGGGGCATAGGGAGGCCCTTACCGTCCTTGGTGCCCTGCCCCTTGTTTGCACTATTGGCTTGAGGAGTGCGGAGGGTGGGGAGACGGAGCTGGCTGACTCAATAGTGTGAGTGTGTCTGTGTGTGCATGTGTATGTGTGTGTGTGTGTTTCTGTCTGTTTGTCTGTCTTCCCCTGGACCTGGGGCCGCAAGGGCAGAAACAGGCGCAGTGGTTAGCACCAGAGGGGGGAGCTCCCAGCTCTTGTTTGTACCCTCCCCCCTCACCAACTCTGGCCCCTTTCAGGGGCATGAATGGTTAACAAAAAACCAGAAAAGTACTCCAGTTTTGGAGAGTAACTGGGGGCTAGGGGTTTTGAATCAGGGTAATATCCTGCCTTCCCTCCTCCAGACCCCACTTGGTCTCAGGGCCCCCTGGGCCCCCTTCCCCTACTGGTAGTTTGGTCCATTTTCCCTAACACAAGGGGGACCCCAGGGATTGGGAGAGGGAACAAGGGAGGTGAAGTGCCGCTTCTTTCAGTAAGTCTCCCTCCCAGAATTAGCCAGCCTGCCCTCGYGCACTCCACCCCACCCCCACCAACTAGGGGAGCCACTGAAGCTGACCTAACAGCTGTCTCCTCACCCACCAGCTATTTCCCTGGGGTGTTGTGGGCAGTTCTCACCGTAAAGCAGTCCCCATCTGCCCAGGGCCTTTGGCAGCAAAGGCTGAGTGGGCCACTGGAAGACTGGAGACCCGTGTCCCTGTCTCACTTGCACTGGGGTGGAGCTGTTGGTCCTTTGGCATTTCCAGCTTTCCCTGAAGCTCAAGTCCTGTTGGTCTCTTTGCATGTGTGCATTTTTGTGTGTGTGTTTCTGTTTGGGTTTTTGTTGTTGTTGGGATTTTTTTGTTGGTTTTTTTAAATAAAGAAAAGAAGATGTGTATATTTTTGGCAATGACAGAAACGTAGTGCAGATATATTTTTGCCTGTGCTGCTCAACTGTTTTTTTTTTCTGATATGGAAAATAATATTAATATTCCTGTTGATAAGACTTTGTAAGATGTTAGGGAGCTAATGATGGGGTGGGTGGGAATTCTTCAGAGGCAATTTCTTAGGCACTTGCAAGGGCTTGGGGGTGGGGGGGATGGGGGCAGTTGTGATGACCTCAGAAATACTCACTTTTTATTAATGCTAAATATCAGTTAGAAAGACATGATAGAATTCAGCATTTTATTCATCTTAATCTATTAAGCTCTTTAACTCCCTGCCCCAAGCCACTAAAAAACAAAGTAACCTTAAGAGATTCTTAGGAGAGTCACTCATTCACATCCATGCCCTGGCTGAAGGCTGGCTCTCAGAGCTGAAGTCTATTTCTATTCTGATGGAAGGGAAGGACATCCACACCAAGATCACTGTGTGGAAGTGAGGTCCAAATGACTTAGTGCACTGGAACCTAGACACTTCCTGMACACCACTCTGCCCTCCCCAGCCCCACTTCTTCACCTCCACAAATCTGTTCTCCAGTTTTCCCAAGTTCATATTCCCCAGGCTGGAATGTTGCAATAGGTAGTTGGGTTAGATTTGAAGAAGGGCTTCCCTGGTCATGGACTGGTGCTGCTGTCCACCTCCACACCCCCCCCTCAGGGGGCATGAGACTGGTGGCAGCACTTCCTTCTGACCAGGCATGATAGGAAGCTCTGAAGAGCCTCATGGGGAGCAGCGTACCAGTGCAAAAGGATGGCCACGATGACCTCACCCTCTTCCAGCCTCAGTCTATTCTTTGAGAATGGATGGACGTGGGAGGAGACGCAGATTTGTGGAGCCTTCAGTCTAGGGGTTAGGAAGGATGTGGTTTGTAGAGCAGAAGTGGAGTTTGAAAATGCATGAGTGGAGCTTTGTGTGTTGCCACCCTCAGCAAAGAGACATGAGTGGGTGTGCATGCTGAGCCAGTGCCAGCCAAGGGGTCACAGCTGGTGGATGTTGGAGCTGGAAGGGACCTGTCTTTGAGGGTCATTGGAGTTGACTCCTGGCTTCACAGGTGATAGTTCCAAGTCTAGGAGGGGCAGGTGTTCAGTGTAGAGCCAGGACTAGCTTCAGGACCTGGCCTCCTTGTCCTCAGCTTCCCTGCCCCACTGCATGGCCTCTCTGGCTCAGTGTCCCTATATGGTGTGCAGGGCTGTGCCCAGGGTGGGAAGGTATCTGTGTAGCACTGACAGTCCTAGTTCAGAGCTGACGGATCCTTTCCATAGACAATGACACTTTAAGGGTTGCCTTTAAAAAAAAAAATTTTTTTTTTTTTTCCTGTTTGTGAGGTTTTTCCCTCAGGCTCCTGGGTCCACTGCTTCCTCCAAGTGCCCTGACCTTGAGGCTCATCAAGGAGCCTTGCCCTTTCTTATGCTGAGACCTGGAGAAGTTCTAACTCCAGGACTAATGGGAAGGGCCTAGACAAATGAGGAGAGCCTCGGGTGGGACCGCTTCCAAGGAGTAACCTTCACACTTTCCTTTCCCAAACTGGAAATGCTGACAGGTTTTCAAACACAGGCTCCTGCCAGCTTCCAGCACTTCCTTGGTGTGGAGTGGGCCAGAGTGAGGGGTAGGTAGCTTGTTCCCAGTTCTCCTTTATCCCAATTTATTTTCCTGGGGAGAGGTGCCTAGAGGGATGGAGGTAACTTCAACTGGGAATTTGGAGGAAGATGGGGCTGAATTGCCCTGGCTCCCTCCCAGCTACATCTACTCAGATTAAAAGCATGTCCAGCTCCCTCAGACCAGTTGGTCTTGATCTACTAAAAGGGGCTAAAGGGTGCCCTCACTCTCCTTTGTTCACTTTCTCCAGCCCAACTTGGGACTTGGGTAGTGGGACTGGAGATCCAAACCCTGGCTCCCCCACCCCTTCCATCCCAGCCTGTTTCCATGTAGCTGACCCTTCCTAGGGGAGCAGGGAGGGGAAGCCACAAATTGCAAACCCAGGGGCTCCTTTTTCATTCTTTCTAAAACCTCCTTTGTATCCTCAGCCCAAAGGCAATGCTCCCCGTGCCACCTCCAAGCCTGGAATTGTGCATAACCCGGATCTTGTATCTTTGTATAACGGATGTTATTTGTACGAAGGGGCAGTTCGTAAACAGCACTTGTTCTTTTAATAAAAGAATGTTTTACAAAAAAAAAAAAAATTCTTCAAAGAGACCCTGATTCTGGCTTTATAGAAGGGAAAGGGGAGTGGGGTGCCAATTGTGGGGGCCTGCAAGGAGGAGGGCGGGAGTATGGTCAGTGACACTTTCAGAATTTGGATGCCCGGTGTATACACAAATGCAGATAACAGCCCATGTAACCTACAGGGCCCGGCAGCGGGACTGTGTTTAACAAGCTGGCTRGGTGATGTGGTGTCCCCACATTATGCTTTTGGAAACTGCCTTAGAGTCTTCGGCCCCGCGAAGAAGTCCGGCTCGTCTGGGGCGCTCTCTGCGCACCGCATCCGCAGATGCGCCCTACCCCAGGAGTGCGGGGGARGTCGGGGCACACCCCTGGGCAGCCGCGGGGGCGCTGCGGGAGGGCACCTGCCGAACTTCGGGCCGCGGGGCCCAGCTCCACCCGCACGCAGCGGGGTGGTGTCTTCCGGGCWGCGGCGTTGCCGGGCAGGCCGGGGGCGGAGCGGAGAAGGAAGGTGACCCGGACGGGGCGGAGTCAGCGCGGCCTGAGCGGCAGCCTTACGCGACGTGGGAGGGATGATACGGCCGGTGGCGCTCCGCACCTGGGTGAGCAGCCCTCGCTCCGCGCTCGTTTCCGCCTAGACCTCGGGCCGCCAGGCCCTGCCTCTCCGGGCCCAGTGTCCCCGGAGCCCAGGCCAGGCCCTGCCCTTTCCCAAGCCCCGCTTCTCAGGGAAGGGTCCCGAGTCCCCAGGCCGCCTTGTGCTTTGCAGCCCTTCACTGAGCGCCTTCCTCCGAAGTCCACCCAAAAGAGTGCCAAAGTGCGGGACCTGCCCCTCAAGGCTCCTTCTCCTGTGACCCCATTTTCTTTCCCTCTTGTTTCTCCCATGCCCCTTTGGCCTATCCGGTCTTCACTCCCACAGGGCTTCCCTCAACCTCCCCTCTCCACTGATTTTTATTTTTGTTTCCACATCTTTTCTGCCTGTACAGAGGCGGGACATCTCCTCCTGGCTGGTGAGTATCCCTAGCGTCCTCCACCTCCCTAGTTCCAGAGACCTTCAGGGCAGAGACCAGGGAATGGAACCAGGAAGGGACGGCCTGCTCCCATCTTCCAGCACTTTTTTCCTGTTGCCCACTGGCTCTAGAAGAGGTGGGGTGGATCGGATAGCACAGGGTGGGAACCAAGCGCCCCAAGATCCTGGCCCTGGGGCCAGCACTTAAGTGGGAGCCAGGATTTGAGGTAAAGCTGGAATGCATGCATGGCATTGAAATCCCTTCTCTCTGGAAGTTATGGACCTTAGGACATCCTGGGGGGGAATGCTCTTGCCAGGTGGTAGCTGATACATCAGCCTCCCAGAAGCCTGCCATACACCAGGGCAAGCAGGAAATTGGACACTGTGCTTCCAGGGCTTGAGCTGATCCCCCCCACTCCCGCCCCAATCTTCTCCCCTGAACACAGGACCGATGGTTCCCTAAAACCCCAGCCAAGTCTGTGGTGGCCCTAAAGACACCTATCAAGGTGAATCTGGTGGCTGGAAAAACCTACAGGTGGTGTGTTTGTGGCCGCAGCAAGAAGCAGGTGAGACTCCTGCCACCCTTCCCACCCACTTGCCACCTCTGGCAGGGGATAATACAGTGTCTTCTGAAAGCTCTCACCTGCTCCACCTCTTCCTGCATATACCTGAAGAACAGGGGGGTTGAGGGGCAACAGTAGCTCCCAGTGCAGTAGCCAGTGGCCTGGAGCTGGCTGGTCTGCATGCTCCCCTTGAAATGAAGCTTAGCACACAGCCAGAGCGCTGGAGTCCAAGTGTCCCAATCCTGTGTCCTTCCTCTGGGCACATATCTGGACTCCAGCTCTACTTCCCCCCTCTCCTTCCTGGGCAGTTTCCCAAGCTTTGGATCCCCACATGGGAAGATTCTGCCCTGACTTTTCTGCCTTAAACCCAGCCTTCCCCTGTGACTCCTGCTCCTCTTTTTCAGAACACCCTCCCCTTTTGCTGCAGCTGTGACTTTCCTAGTTGCTTGCCACAGCCTGCCTTCTTCTTAGCCTGTGGCCTGTTCGCATCCTCTCTTTTCCTGCCCAGGAGCCTTTCATTCCTGGAGGAATCTGACCCATATTCTTGACCTCAGTCCCTTTCCTTCCTCTGGTGCAGAACTTATAACTGTTCCTCAAAGCCATGTTGGTAATGTCAGCAACCCAGGGTCCTGAGAACCACTTTACCACTGATATGCTGTGGCCTTTAAGCAGGTATTTGTGAGGTGGAACAATGCCAAGGGCATGCCAGCCAGAGGAATGTGGCCTGTGTGGGTGGATTGGCACATGTGCCTCTGCCCATGCCCTTTGAGACAGGTTGCTGATTTTTATTCGCTCACTCCTTTCTTTGCTCTTATCCTACCCTAGTCCCAAGGTCAAGAGGCCTTGGCTCCAGTTCTGGACTAACAAAGTGAGTCCCCTCTTTGGGCCTCAGTTTCCATTACTCAGTCTGCTCAGAGGGGTTCTGGGATATTCCTATTTCTGCACCAGGCAGGCAGGTACCCTGGGGCATCCCTTCCTCCTCTCTAACATGCCTGATTGTTTACTGGAGCCAAAACGAACTGCTCCTGCTGTATTAAAGCACTGTAAAACGCTTCTCCAATATAGAGAAGTTTTTACCCTGGGAACATGGGAAAGGAAATGAATTTCATGAAGAAACAGGATCAGTGTAGACGCAGACCCTAACAAAACCTTAGTATAACATTGTAAATACCTGAGGTTTCCTTTGATCTTAACTCTTGTGTCCTGGCCCTCTGGGTTCCCCACTTCCCTGCAGACTAACAGTTGTAAATACTTATTTTTTTCCAATATGGGGGATTGAAAACCAGGACACTGTACCTTGGGTTACATCCCCAGCATTCCCCTACCCCGTTTTTTTTTTTTTTTTTTTTTTTTAATTTCGAGATAGGTTCTCACTAAGTTGCTGAGGCTGGCCACCACACCCAGCATGCTGTAAATACTGAATTTACTATGGGCAAAGGACATAATGACCATTTGTTTTTATTTCCTCATGACAGACCTACTCTTATCAGTGAAGCTGTTCTGGAGCCTGAACCCTAACTACTGGGCTAGCTCTGCCTGGCCTCCGCAGGGGGGCTCAGGTCTTATGACTCTTTTTTTTCCCTCCACCAGCCTTTCTGTGATGGCTCCCACTTCTTTCAACGAACCGGCTTATCCCCACTCAAGTTCAAGGCCCAGGAGACCCGAACGGTGGCCCTCTGTACCTGCAAGGCCACCCAGAAGCCCCCATACTGTGATGGCACCCACAGGAGTGAGCAGGTGCAGAAGGCAGAAGTAGGCTCCCCACTCTGAGGGGGTGGCTACTTGATTCCAGGACACTGACAGGCACCCCCTTTGTGGGGAAAGAAACTGAGTGCCAAGCCCAAGAAGGAACCATCCGGGGGCCCCAGTACCCACAGCTGGCTTGTTCCCCACAACCCAAGGTCTTCAATCACAGCAATTGGGAGGGGGTCCCTGGTTCAGAGTCTGCTGGTGGAGAAGGTGGCATTAAACAAGCATGACTCCCTGGAGTGGTGTTCTGTGGTCACTGAGGTGAGGACAGGCACTGTCCTGTATCACATTTTAACTTGTGTGGGAGCTGAGGCTGCCTGGCAGGCTACAGGGGGGCACCTCAGATTAATTCCACGTAAGCATGGTAAGGCCAGGAGAGCCACCCATCCTACCCCTTGTCCCCTTCCCCAAAGAACTACAGGCTCCAGGGAGGATGCAGCATTTATTACAAAGCCAAGAAATACAAATGTCCCAGTGCAAGAGGAGGGTACAGTCACAGGACCTCAAACAGGACAAGGTACAGACAAAGCCATGGGGGCTCCCAACCCCACACACCTCCTTGTGACAGTCTGGCCTCCTCCCAGATCTATGTACATTGGAGGAAAACCAGGTGGGCAGGGTCTGCTGGGGCCTGCCCCTGAGGGGGCGCTCTTTTGACCTCTCAGAGTTGTGCTTCTAGATGCCTCTGTCACTGTCCTGACTTGGCCTCAGCTGGGGGTGAGGAGGGGGGCTGGAGGACTATTTGCCTTTGGCAGAACCTGGGGTCTGTGCTTGTCTGAGGTTAACCTCATCCCTGCCCCTTTGTTCTGGGTGTCCAAGTGAGGCTTCACCACCAGTCTTGAAAGTAAGGGTCCTGGGCCAGGGTAGGGGCAGGAAGGGGCGAAGCAGTTCATGTTGCTAAAGCCACACATGGACTTTCCAGGGCTGGGATCCCCCATGCCTGAATCTTCTCTTCCACAAGATAAATGATGCAAAGGCCACACACACAGGGAAAAAGGGCCAAACTATCTAGTCTTTGCACAAGATTTCCACTGCATGAGGAGGTGAGGGAGATGCCTTCTTGCTKCCCACTTGCTCCTCAGATCTAGGGGACAAACTGCACTTGTAAAAGGCACTGTCTTCAAAAATCTCTGGACATTCAGCAATGGGGGGCTGGGCAGGGGCAGGACAGCAGCCAAGATGGGTAGAGAAAAATGGTGGACCCCATACCAGGCCAGATAGAGCTGTGTCTAAAGCTTTGGGGGCTGGTGGGGTCCCTCAACACCCCATCTGCCTTGGGAAACAGGGAGAAGTGGAGTAGGGCTTTACCCAACTTCCAGTGGCCCCTTGAGTTCACCTCCAGGCAACCCCCAAAGAGCAGAGCAAACTACACAAGACCCCCTAAAAATGAAACACACACACACACACACACACACACACACACACACACACACACGCACAGTTCTCCCTACCGCCCCGTGGCATTTAAATTAATCTGGTTGGTCCATAGAAAATAAGTATGTATATTTGGTCTTTCCTATGTACATATATATATATATAGATTTATTTATAAAACCCACCTCCCACTTCTACGGTGGGAGGAGCTGGGTAAAGTAGAAGAGGTGGAAAAAAGGCCCAGAAAAAGTGAAAGGAGGGAGAGGTGGCTGCAAAGGAGGGAAAGGACCCCTTTCCTCAAGTTAAAGGGGGCACAGGAGCTCCGTTGACAGTCATCTTCCGCCCCCTGCTGGTGGAGGATGGTGTCTGCAGGCAGTTCGAGGCACCCCCGTTGGCAGCTGTGGTGGCCCCACTGGCTGTCGAAGGGGGAGTGGGGGAGGTAGGGTGGGTGGCTGGGGGGCCGTGGGAGCTGGGAGAGCCATGGGAGGGAGTGGCAGGGCTGGGTAGGGAGGAGGAAGTGGCCGGCAGGGTGGCAGGGCTAGGAGCCTTGTCGCTGACTGACTCACACTCGGATGCCCCGCTGGTGTTGGTGCCCTCTGAAGGAGTGGGCACTGTGGGCAAGGTGAGTCGCTTGCAGGCTGGCTGAACACGATACTTTAGAGGGAGAGGGCCATTCTGTGGTGAGAGGGAGATGGAGAAAGGCAGGGACAGAGGGTATCAGGAGAAAGGCTAACTAGGGAGCCACCAGCCCCACCCCAAAGTGCCCACACAAGAACAAAGAGAAGGTATGGGCCTTTCAGAGGGGAGACCAGCAGAGCAGAGGAGACAGAGGGACACACAAAGACCCAGAGAGACGGGGGCTTGGAAAGAAAAAGAGGAGACAGGAAATAGAATACAGAAAGCAATATTTGCTCCTGGCAGCCACCTATTTCTGACCCCAAATTAGCACAGAATGGGCCAGAAGAGCCCTTTCTCCTGAGTGTGGGAGTTTAATCAGCAAGAGAGGGCCAGAACTGACCTGGTATGACAGACAACCCCAGACACACCCAGCTCCCAAGAAAAGGGATGGACACAAGGGAGGATTGAAGAGGATAGCCCGAGTGGTCACTGTGGACACAAACTAATGCCTGCCTCCACCCTGCACCCTGCCCAGCTCACCCGTCGCCAGGGGTAGATGTAGGCGATATCCATGAGGGTGTAGTATTCCTTTAGGGGCTCGTCCTCATAAAGAACCTCCACCTGGGGAGGGAAGGGGTGGATACTGTGAGCCTGGCCAGGTGCAGGAGCTGGGAGGTGGGGCAACGTGGAGGGTGGATTGCAGGTGGCCTTCGCTACTGAGGGCTGTCATGTGGATTTGACTTCCCCATCAGAGCTGTCCCCATGTAACACCTGACCACAGGTGGGATGGGATCCAGAAAAGTTGCTGCTCAGCCCCAGCCATCCTCATAGCTGTCAGTCCCCTCCTCTCCGGCAGGCGTCCCCGAAGACCTAACAAGGCTGGAAGGAACTCCTGGCCACTGGCTGTCACCCTTGGATGCACAATGGACTGGCCAGGGGAACTTAAAAAAACCATCAAAGCCTGTATCCCAGCCCTGGAGACGCTGACCTAACAGGTGAATCCGGAGGCGGCTCACTATAGACACAGGACTAGGTACAGCAGAGTTTAGGATTCACCGTCTGAGCTTTGCTACTCAAAGCGCAGTCCTGGTGGTCCGTTTACCTTCCACATTGGCAGCACTTAGAAGCCCACTAGAAATGTAGAACTGAATGCACCAGAACCTGCCTTTCAACAAGATCTCCTGGCCATCATGTACACATTCAAGTCTGGGAGGCCCTGTCCTAGAGCTGGCCCTCCCACAGCCAGCTGGCCCTATATTTTTACCTGTACACCTCCTTCCACATACACCCTCACCCCAGGCACCTCTGTACAATGACTTCAACAGACACAGACTATGCCACCCTAATCTTGGGTTCAACCACCCTTCTCCATAGGCTGTTACACAGTCACACCAGCCCCCAATGACRCCTAGCCAGCCCTGAGTAATAGTTGGGGTGCAGACTGTCAGACCCTCTCACAAAGATGCTCCTGTTTTGAGAAGGCCCAGGACTCACCTTGTACTTGCTGGGTACATCCATCTTGTTKCGAAGGAACTTGGCAAGGTGCATGACGGTCATGGCTGCTGGGCATCGCAGGAAGCGCACCCCTGTCTGCTGGGGAGAGATGCCTGTGAGGGGCCCCCCAGGCACTGCCTCACAGCCCACAGCCCACTCCTGGGCAGGCCCCAGCATTCACCTTCTCCTTGTCCCCATCCCCATTCTCCAGGGGGCCCTTCTTCTCCTCCCGGTCCCTGGAGAAGGAGAAAGAAGAAAGCTAGAGCGACCCTGGAGCAGACAGGATCCCTCACCGCACACACATTGAGGGCTCCCAGCAGATGGGGCCAGCCCAGGCCTGGACTGGACTTGCCTGACACCTTCGTAGAACTCGATGGAGAGGCTGACAATCTCGTCATCACTCAGCGCCCCCTTCTCCTGCTCCAAGACCTCACCGCGGTCCTCATTGGAGCCATTAGGGACTGCAGAAAGAGCTTRGGGGGTGAGTGGGAGGTAGGGGGGAGGAGGCTCACCAGGGACAGAGGGTCACAAAGCTCAGTCAGGTGAGCCTGGCCACCCTCTCAGCAGGGGAGTGGGGTGTCCTGTGGGAGGATGCATGGGGGTAGGCAACCCTACCTCCTGGCACAGGCCCAGGAATAGGCATGCGCACACTYACCCTCTGTCAGGGGGTACGCTGCGTAGAAATCTCGACGCCGTTTCATCTCATCTGGAAGGAGGAAGAAGCAGGGTAAGAGTGCAGGAGACTAGGAGATGACAGGAGAGGGGGGAGGGGAGAAGGGGACACAAATACCTTTGAAAAGCCCAGGGACCAATTTGTAGACTATGTCTTGGAGGGTTTTGTCAGATCTGGGGAAAAAAGTTCAGGGACTATCAATAGTCACATCATCCTACTATCCCCAGCCTGGGACCCTCTTCCAACCCTTCCCTACACCCGGTGCCCAGGCCTCGGACTTCCTAGAATTTCTTAGCCTATAAGCTAGGAGTAACCAAGAGGGAGGGAAGGGACAGAGTCCAGGCCCTACTTCTCCTGACCAGCTGCCCTGGCTGCAGGARGCAAAGAGGATGAGGGGACAGAGGTAGGCTGACCTAGCAGCTGGGTAGTGGCAGGGGGAGCAATGCCAGGCCCACCTGATACTCAGCAGCGGTCGGGTTTTATGGACCTGCACATCACACATGGGGCAGTATTTGTTGGTCTCCAGGTAACGCACGATGCAAGTTTTGCAGACTTGGGGGGTATGGACAGAGAGAGGACAGTCAGTGCCCCTTTCCTACCCCAGGACCAATCCCCATTCCCTCTGCTCAGATTCAGGCATCTTCTCTTCTCCACCTTGTCCCAGCAGTTCAGGGCTGTTCAGAGGCCGGGCATGGTAATACATGTTCTGTACTTTCCCTTGTCCATCCTTAGGAAAGGATAGGTCTTGTGTGTTTGTGTATGAGACAGGTTGGTGTCCTACACAACATATAAAGTGAGCTTCAATGGGGGCTGGGGTAGTGGCTCAGCGGTAGAGCGCTCACCTCAAATGTGTGAGGCTCAGCACCACAAAATCATAAATAAAGATGTTGTGTTCAACTACAACTAACTAAATAAATATTTAAAAATGAGCTTCAAGTTCCAGGCCCCCTGATGGATTACAAAACAAGAGTCAGCCTGTTAAGAGCCCTCCTAAGCATTTGACCTCTTGCAACCAAGACCACGTGCAAACGAGGGACACCTGCACCTTGAGAGTATGAAATTTCAGCCACACAGATTCAA